AATAGCTAGTATACATACATACATACATACATACATACATACTCACTAATATACATGTGACGTGCAAGTTAAGGGAATTTACTTATAAAATGTATGTAAACTTTCACTATATGTTGTGTGTTCACTATACTATATGTATTTTGTGAGCGCATGATAAAGCGTAGATTTATAAACTCAAAGCATAAAAATTTACTCGAACAAAAAAGTGGTTCAACGTAAAAACAAATTTCCCGAGCGCCCTGTTTGTCACTATTTCGTTGAACCGGATAAAAGTTATAGACACTGTCGGAGAATAGGTTGTTTTTGTGCAGGCTTCTGTGCGAACTTTATTGCAACTTAAATCACATTGCAGAGTTGTTCTGGCTGATGCAAGGGTATTTACTTGGAAGAAGTTTTAGGCTGATATAAAGCACGGCAGTCCCTTTTTTTGGGTGGAGTTGCAGTAAATACTCTGCGTAGTCTTAGGCTATTTCGTGTAAAAAAGAATTAAATGGAGACTTTCACCAGCATTGTTTAAGTTGGATCGGTGAATGATCAAAAGAAACAGAGATCTTGCAACAAGCTAAAAACTTGGTATCCCGCACAAATTGCTTGATATGTTGCATTGCGAACAAGTGAAAAAGCTACTCGTATATTTGAGCGAGTACTTACTGTTTTTCTATATATTAGAGAAATCACAGGCAAGGTTGCCTATATCGTATAAGCGTGTTTCCATCAAAAGTTTTCTCTCTTATCGGATAAACAAAGAGCATATAATTGACATTTAAACTGGTAATAATCAAGTAAGTCTACTTGATCCTTTACGTTACGCAATCTCTGAACATATACCACCCGTACCATCATTAGCTCACATTTGAGAGACTACAGTTCCTCGCAAAGGGAACACCGTTTCCTCGAAGAATGATTTGCCGCCGGTTCGATTATGAAATACACAAATATACAAATTTCAAAAGTGATGGTTAGGATCCACCATTAGTTTGGCATCCTGTTAATAATAAAACAAAACCCAGACCTGAGCACATCACTACTGCAAAACTTTAAGATACAGTTAGTGTTTGTTGTGTGGAAAGGGATAAAATTAAGAATTCTCCAGCTAGTTTAAGTTTAAAATTCAAATAAGTCGCGATCAAATTCGTAAATTAGTTTTAAAATGTTTAAACCGCACGAAAACAGTTAAACCGGATGATAAAAAATGAAATGTTATCGTAATTAATAGAGTGACCCATCACAAAAGGCAGTTAAAAAAGGTCAACGGGCAGGACGGCGATGACAATATGGGCACTTCTATAAATATCAGATTACGCGCGGGAGCTGGCGTCATGATGACAAATGACGTACATTTATGATGCTGCTACGTTTTTTAAAACGCGCGAGAGTTGAACAAAGCAAGGGAAAGCCTCGATCATTTTAGCATCGCGAATTTGGCTCTTTGCCGGATTAAAACTAATAAAAATCTATTCAGGGTGAAATAGCAATCACTGTTGTTAGGAATGTCCATGGGTGTAGAATAAGCATGCTCTTTCTTAATATTTGAACACTCAAATATTATGTAAGAAACAGGATGCTTAGTCGGCTTATTCAGATATGTATTATATATTTATTTAAAACTTAACGTACAAAAAAATCTTTGCACAAAGGCATTTTACAAATAGAGTTCAGAATCTGCGTTCAGAGCAACAGAGAGCTTCCACACACAAATCTCATAAATATGGGCGTCACTTATCGCTCGACGATCAATGCCCTAAATTATAGCAATACTGGGTGTTTTTTTAAATAATAAATGATTAATTTAAAGTCATGTTTATTTTTTTTATTTTATGTGCAATTTATGAGCAAAAAGTTTCCTTGTGAGTAACTTCTTCTTCTTCTTCTTATTTTATTTCGTTATTTTACATTTTTCAATCACAGTACAATTAAAATATTCCGTTTAGTGCAGAATTTTTATTTTACTATATCTTCTGATTTCATTTTTGCTTTTTTCTTCAAGGTACAATTTCACCGTTTCATATAAGATTTCACGGCGATAATTTGCTTATAGTTACCAATGTCCACATCTGGAATAATACATCGCATATTCTATATATAATTTCAATATATAATTTCCTGCCGTTACCATTGAATCGAATTCATAGCCTGTTGCTTCAAAGACATTGAAAGCTACTAAACTTTTTAGTTTAAAATTTTTCGTACATAATAATGAGCAAAAGAGTGATTAATAATAAAATAAAATCTATCAAGGATGAAAAATATATCAATGTGCAATAAAACATTGCATTTAGCTATATGGTAAAGTTCCAGCAAATCTAGGTCGGTAATTCCGTCCAATGTTCATTCTTATGAATAATTCATGACAGCCGTAAAATTACTTGAAACGGGGACAACACTGATTTTATCTCGGGCAATTATTGTTAGAACGATGGACAGTAAAATCTGGGGTGAAAGTGTCGGGCGTTAGTGGAAAATATGATGTCGCCTGAACAGTTGCTATAAAAAGTATCCATGTCAAAGGAAAAACGTCTTCGTTTTTTGTTTTGTTTTCCTGTGCAATTGTACGGGAATTAGGAAAAGAGGTTGCTCAGGATCGTGCTTCAAGGCGGTGTATGGAACAGCAGTAGCTTGCTCAGCAGTGGACTCGCTTAGGCTTAAATGATAAAGATGATGAACGGAAACGCTCACTCAATTTAAAGATTTTTTTAATAACGTCAAGCGGTGCGCAGGATTTGGTGCACTGTACTTTCGGTTGCATATGGTATGCGGCCACCGTTGCGCTTCGGCTTTTAGTCTCCGCGGTTAGTTGCATATTTATGAGATTAGCACTCGTGGACTATGTTGTCCTTTCCGGCGGCGTTTATTTGTTTTTCCATCCAGACTCGATTTGAATCAGCGTATATCGTTGGGACGGTTTCGACGATATCTCCGGTCGATGTAGTAGGAGTATTCTTACTACTGACAAATACTGTTAGTACATTTGATCAGAGACAACGCGTTACTGGTATATATATAAAAAAAAATGTGTATATATTTCTGAACACAATGTTACGCAACGTTATCTAGTTCCAAACTGAGCAAAGCTTGCACTATGGGCACTAGGTAACTAGTAAACCTACTTAAAATACATTTATGTACATACATTTAGATGTATAAGAAGCCACACACTGGAAACATATTGAGTTCATCACACAATATTTCTCCAGTTGCGAGGATCGAACGCACACCCTTTAGTGAGAGAGACGGGATCTTTATCCACTGTGACGTGTTGATCAAATGTCAAGGTCACGAAAAAGATTAAGCTACATTTATGCAGAAAGCAGGTTATTAGTAGTGTATTCATGTGATATGTTACTAAAGAAAAAAAAACTAGAAGAAAAAAGTGGGTCAGTCTTTCTGAAAAAGCATTAAGAATACATAGATTTATCCTACAGTGGGTGCGGTAAACAAAAGACTATTGAATCAGTTGGCAAGGCGATCACTGTTGTTGTGAGAGAGAGCCCATCAGAGGTTATTACTTGCTATAACATGAACTGTTCTCATTTTCTATTGAAATGCAAAATATGCAGCCGCTACATCTGTACCATATATAACTGAATATAGGAAAACGTATTTGAGTAATGAACAGCAAACATAATAAGAAAATATAAAAGAAACTGGTTGCGTTTAATCTGGTGATTAATTTGGATCTTCCGAAAGAACAAAACACTTTTACTGCAAATAGAAAACGCGGAAAACCATTACGGCTCCTTAATGCTAGATTCCTTTGTTGCGCACAAGCGCTACGTATGCAAATTAGTTCCCAACAAGTGCACGTACTGTTAAGGAAAATCCACCGCAATGCACTCTGAGCCAATTACAAAGTGTATGAAACTAATTTATGAGTCACTTTGAGCGTGAACATTTGGAGTTTTATTTATTTATTTATTTATTTATTGTTAGGTACACCAACAGCATAACTAATAGGAAGTGGCACTAAAGATAATTTGTCACTTTGAGCGTGAACATTTTGAAATTTGGACTTTGCAAGGTGCGTGAAATGCGCTGGATCCTTTCCACGCGCTGTGAAGACACATTATATGTTTTAATGATGGATGTCGTTACGGGCGCATAGATAACGTGATTACTAATGAGTACCAGCCCATTAGGACGATTGCAATTTCTTCTGGTCACGTGCCGAAATAATCGCCTTTACGTGTAGTGAATACAGTAAGAGTGCATTGATCATATAAATTCTCTGTAATTCGTGTATACGTAGATAAACACTACTGTCTGTATTACATACAATAAAATGTTAATTACTAGCTGCTGCCCACGACTACTACTGCGTAGAATAGGCTGAAGGCCTAACGTTCAGACAGAAAATATATGTATTGAAATTATAGCCTATGTTTTATTCTGACGTATAAGCTATATTTGTGTAAAGTTTCATTAAAATCAATTCTGTAGTATTTGCGTGAAAAAGTAACAAACATCCATTCATACATACAAACTTTCGCCTTTATAATATTAGTAAGGATAGTAAAAAGTATAAACTTTACACTGTTTTTTTGCCTCCATATCCATCATGTCCTGTACTTCTCTTACACTACTGCTTTTTCCTATACTACAGTATATCTCCATCTCAGTTATTTGAAATACTTAGGGCATATCTGCTTAGATGAAAAGTTACTAATTTTTTTGGGATTATTCTTTCAAAATTATTAAACGTTTTATATAAATTTTGGCAAAAAAAATATATTTCATTTTCAAGACTAGAATTCGTACCAAAAACAATACAGTTGAAAGCTCTACATCTTATAACCGCCAACACGGACAACTAATCAGATAAACGCCGTGATGAATTGCTCCTAGGGACAATAATTTCAAATCGATTATAATTACTTCGTGTGATTTTTATCTAAAACGAATGAATGTCATAAAAATGTGTTTCAATTATATTATAGTGTCGTATTGTTAACAGTTTAACTGGTAAATCCGACGGGTTGAAGTGTATCATTCTGAATAGTAAAATGCATTTGGTGAAGCAGACCCAAAGTCACGCTTTAAAAAATTTGGCCAGGTCGAAGCACAGGTGAAACAATTCAATAATTAATTTATTTCATTCACGCGAAATACATATTCAAAATATTTAAACAATTTAATAGTTTTCAATGTTTTATTTCCTTATACAAGACTGGCGTTCTGTCGAACTGGCCACTTTGATCTCAAATATCTACGGCTAGGAATTCCAAATTCAAATTTAGGTTAGTGTACTTGCTTTTCGGATTTAGTGATCTATTTGTTTTCACATTTGCATTTGATTTTGGTTTGGTTTGATGTCTGGTTTATTCACAATGTGTGTCTGTCTGTCCGTCTGTCAGCGGGCTATATCATATGAACCGTAATAGACAGTGGAAATTTTCACAAATGATGTATTTCCGTTGCCACTATAACGACAAGAACTTAATAATACTAAAAAAAGAATAAAATAATGTTTAAGTGAAGCTCCCATACAACAGATATGATTATTTCCCGTTATTATAAATAATGGTACGAACCCTTCGCCCGCGAGTCCAACTCGCATTTGGGCGGTCTTTTTTAATATGCTACGAGTATAACCACCAATTTTTATATTTTTGTAATAAACCCTGTTAGAAAGTTTTGTGTAATGTTAACTTATGGGAGATTCAAAAGAAGCACTTTATCCAATCGTGTCGACGATTTTTTTTATTTTTTTTATAAAAAAAACGTTGCCCTTACTTTAGGATAACGTTATCCTGTGTTGTAAGGACGTTTCACAAACATAAATTTTAGCCAGGAGGAGTCTATGAATACCCATAATGTGTATAAAGTGGTTATGGTCAGTGAAGATTTTTTTATTTTAGATGGCAGTGGACCCTGATTTTGTCAATTCTTTTGATATGTTCAATAGTTGTCATGTGGATATGGATAGAACGATATTTGGAGAACCCTACATATATTGTTCGGTTAGAGGCGTCGAAAATGGATACACAGTTTCCTGCTGTCATGGTATTTCCAGAAGTAGCATTCGCTGGACACAGGATCGAATCATTTGTGAAGCAGCTGTAAGAAAGGGTTTTATTTTTTTTGGAGCTCAGCCTTTAATTCAATATATCGTTCGATCGTTGTTTTTAAAAGCAGCTCCGCGGTAAGAAAAAGGGTTTAATAATTTTTTATGTGAAGTCCGGCAAAAATGATACCCTTGTTACTTTACTTTACTTTTTTTTTAAATAAAAATGTTGGGCTATTTATTTATTTTCATTGGTCTAATTTATCTTGAGTTACTAAAGGCATTAGTTTACTTTAACTGCTGTTTTGCTTTCAGTCCGTCGACTGTTTAAGCTTCATCGAACGCAGAAACCAAGGGACTATTCAGAACCCCACGAGCTTGGCCCGCCGCTCTGGGTACGATACACGCATACCTGCTTTATCGACCCGATTGGCGTGGGGAGTGGTGAACCTGCCTCGTGCACCATCGGATGTGGGTTCGATCCCCACTGCTGGAAATTATTGTGTGATGAACATAGTATTTTTCCTGTGTCTCGGTGTTTAAATATCTATAATATGTATTTATTTAAAAAAAAGTATTTTTATCAGTTTTCCAGTACCCATAGCGCTTAGTCTGAGACTAGAGAACGTTATGTAAAAATGTTTATTATTCAGTACGTCCGTTGACGTAATTAGTGGGGAACACGTACTGTTGGTTTCACCGTGTTCCTGGGAAACAACGAACTAATTGATTGTGTGTGTACAGAGTACTGTACAGTGTACTTGAGAGCAGTCTAGCGGGATCCCCAATGAGTCCGACGTAATTATATCCTCTTTCTTGACTGGGTCGATGAGAACGTTGTGCTGGTGATGTTAGTAAACGGTCGCGAGCGACGGTTATATCCGGATGGTACCTAGGTTCCTGCGTTTACCATCAGATGTTAGGATTGGTTTTCGGCTCTTTTTGTACGATATCTAGAGGCCAATACTGACTTGGCCGTGATGTTTATCCAAATACTATAGGCATGTGGCATCCACGAAATGCACGACATTTTCTTGTGGGTCTCTCGGGATGTCGCTTATGTATAGCATGAGAGCAAATGTCATAAATATCTTTCATCGCACATTTTTTGTTCCCCTTTTCAGCAAATATCCACCAGGGTTAAATAAAACCTATACAAGGAAAGTGATACCACAATTGGCAGCATTCTTTTCGCCGGACGTTACTTATAAGTTAACCGATTTGGAAAACATTCAAAGTATACTCGACTACAATAGTATCGACATTGAAACAGCCGGACTCAACCTTACCGAATCTTGTGAAGAGTCAATCACACGGTAATAAAGACTTAATAGTACTTAAATATGAATAGATTCATAAAAATCCACATAGTAAATCACTATAAAAACAAGCCTTTGCTAATAGGAATTGCAGTAAGATTTTAAACAACCAGTGTTTCAATTATTTACAGATGTCGCTGGCAGGGTGATATCGTGAAGTGTTCACAACTTTTCGAAATGACCCTCACCGCTTACGGTTTCTGTTGTATTTTCAATGGGCGCTCTCTGAGAAGGTTCTTAATTATATGAGATTAGCATATTTCTTAGTGTTAACTACACCGTACGACTATAATATGCCTGTCTAGGAGGCTGGGTTTCGTGCTTGGTTTTGTTTGGTATAATTTTTAATTTACCACATATGTACGTTTAGGGTTCCGTACTCAAAGGTTAAATCCACTGTCTGTCTGTCACCAGTACCTCCACCACCTCTTAAACCGTGATAGTTTTTTGGCCTTTTCATTTATAATGGTACGGAACCTTTTTTATGTTTTTATATTGTGGTTTACTGTAAATTATTGATCTTATTTTTCCACTTAAAGTTTGTATGAAGAGTTTGTTTGTACGATGAACTTTACAAAAATTTTACACAAGTGAACTTGCTCTCTTCGATCTAATTAACGAGTAAGAAAGGTATCATACTTTTTGAAATTTTACAGATGATAAATTGGTTGACATCCACGCTAAATATAAACAATCCTCAAACAAAAAAATACTAAATGCAAGGGCTTATCATAATATCCAAGAATACATAGAGGACATGATTTTTTTGGACTCTTGCTCTGCAATGGTAAGACCCCTTTTTATGTTTTTATACCCAAATTGTGTGTATTTGCATGTAAAAAAAAATTATTGACCGCAGAGTTTTTCCACTTAAAGTTTCTATGCAGGTCTTGTTTTACGATGAACGGTTACAAAAATTTTACACAAGTGAACTTGCTCTCTTCGATCTAATTAACGAGTAATTGAATAAATATACTTTGACTTTGAAGTTTTACGTGTTGGATGGCAGGAAAAAATAGTATACTGTTTTAAAGTTTCTTTTATAATCGTTTTATTTCGCATGTTTAAGTCTTGCATAAGACATGTGTATCTGTCATAAGCGCAGTGGTGTAGTGATTACCTCCAAGATATGATTATTATTTCCGTACTGAGATATCATTTCTGCAAAGCGAAGATAATTATTTCGGATCTGGGTTTCTTACAATTGCTTGAATATAATTAATAATATGAAGAAGACTTAATGTTATTTCAGATATATGATGAACGAACAACTCCAAGACAAAAACCTAACGGTTGCCCAGAAGTTATATAAAAATTCTGATTTCGCGAATGGTCTCATGTTAGTTATAAACCAAAGCCAGGCGAAGCCGTTTGATGTTGATATTTCATATAAATGGGTATGTAAATTGTTCGTGAATTTCTACGATTGTCCTGTTTTTTTTTATCCTAGAAAAAAAAAGAATTATTACACAAATTTTATCAGTTCTACTGACTAGCTGTCTTTTGCGAATAATTAAAATTTATGTCGTTGTCATTTTAGTTATTTAAAGTTTTATCATTATTATATCATAAACTTACTTCATTATCAGTAATCGTATTCAAAAGCAGTTTAATTTTTATCAAGAACTGTCCAGTGTTCGCCAATAACTATGATAAATCTGTAAGCGGTTAAAATATTGTTAAAGGTTAAACACAATTTCTCAATAAATAACGATTACTTTCAATTTGGAAACCCCATGAAATATATACATGATTATTTTCATAAATCTACCGTGATTAAAATAAAGGCTTATTATTTTTTTTTATGTGAAAAGTTGCCAAGCGAGCAGACGGTGTCATACCTCATGTTAAGTGAATACCATTGCCCGTGGACATCAGCTACATCCGAGGGTTGCAGATGCGTTGACAACCTTTTGAAAATTGGGCTCCGGCCACCTCACTCACCAGACGAAACGCGAAAGTTTTATACTTCCACTTTACGCCGGTCTTTTGTGAGGTCGTGATACTTACCCGGACGAGCCTGCCCATTCGTGCAACAGGAGAGGCTGCTGCGTGGCCCTACCACCGTTATTACTAAGTATACATATAATGTGACGAGGATTTTGGTCCTTCAAGCACTTATAATTTTTAAATACATCACTGATTCCGAATTAATATTGTAATTGAATTTTGGAATGATAGAAGAACTTGTTACTGATGAATTTTAGCTGTCTATACACGGGTCCCAGGGATATATTGACCTACCGGGGAATGGGACGCCAATAACGCCCGGAACTGAATTGTCCGCAAGTTACAGCACTGATGGACTTAAAGTGGACGAAGAGACGGTGAACCTCAACAAGGATCTTCGACGTTGCAGAATGAGCTATGAATCATTACAATACTTCCCTATCTATCATAAGTATCTGAACTATTTATTTTTAATATCGTAGGGCCACGCAACATCTTCCGCTGTTGCACGATTGGGCAGTTCCGTCCGAAGAACGGCGTGAAGTGAAAGTATCTTAACACTTTGATGACTCCGTGGCGCAGTTGCCAAGTTATTGGCTTCGGTGTCGGGGGTCGTGGGTTCGATTCCCACACGGGACAACTATTTGTGCGACCCACAGATGGTTGTTTGAGCATCTGGTGTTTGTCCTCGTGTAATTTATGTTTGTAAAACGTCCTTACAACACAGGATAATGTTATACTAAAGGGCAATGTTTTAAAAAAAAATAACAAAAAATAACAAAAATAACTTCTGCGTTTCGTCTGGTTAGTGGGGTAGCCACTAACCAGACGAAAAGCCTACGTTATTAAAAGGTACAAGGTACAAGGTTTCAACATTACAAGACGTGTTGCAAATCTCTATGGGCGGCGGTTATCACTTAACATTAGTTGAACTGCCATCTTCTCGCACATAAAAAAAACCGGTATCTGATTTCAGGTTCTTTTCTTTTTTATTCATCTCTCTCATTTATGAACCTTTATGTCTTTGATTTATCCGTTAACAATATCTATATTTGTTTTTGTATGACTTTTTAGCCGAAAGCGAAGTTGAAATGAAAACTCTAGTTGAAGATGAAAACTGTATTTAATAATTTCGTTTAAAAGGCACAAAGCTGACGTTGCTTAAAGTATAATAAGAGTTTTTGATGATTCCGCCTAAAACTAGTCTGCTTTTAATGAATAATCAGTACAATAAATATTCCCAATGTGAACATTAAAGAACCGAATACAGATGTAGCAATGGCTGTGGTTTCAATAACATTTCGAACATTTTTTTAATAATTGTAGTTATGGGTGTTATAACTAACAAATCTAACAATTGTTTAAAATAACAACTATATGTTTAACTGTTATTCATATTTCTGTTTTCATAACATTTAAAAAGTTAGGTAAACATTAGCTATTTGTTCACGTAGAAAACATTGTCTTTTCGAACGCGAGATGAAAATGGCGGTCAGCCTTTGCGGTTGTTTGAAGATAGGACATCTGCAGCTGCCTGGAGTTCCTGTGTGTCGCGCTCAAAATCTACTATGTGCTAGACAGGCTACAGGTATTAATTAACATAGTGTTAATCGCCGATTGAAATATTACGGTAAATATTGTAGAAACATTGAAGGTAGCTTGATATTTTAACATCTAACGCCTCAATCGTTCTCGTGGCCATGAATGCTTAAAATAATTGCTACGTAGTTTCATAAATTAATGGAAACAAGTGAAAATTATATTAATGTCCTATATTAATGTCCTATAAAAAATTTCACAAACCCACTCTTCGAGTTGTTGTACAATTGCTAAATAGTTATAAGTACTTAACTGTTGACTTTGTAAAGAGCGTTGAATTATTTCTACCGCTTCAAAAATAAAATGATTATTTATTTCAGAAAGTGGCAAACGAGCTGGCGGTTCACCCGATGTTAAGTGATAACCGCCTGCCCATGGACATTTTCAACACCCGTAGGCTTGTAGATGCGGCTACCTCACTCACCAGACGAAACGCAGAAGCGCAATACTTCTACTTTACGCCGGTCTTCTGTGAGGTCGTGGTACTAACCCGGACGGACCTGCCCACTCGTGCAACAGCGAACACTGTTGCGTGGCCCTACCACTGTCAAAAGTAAAGTTGTTTCATCATCATCACCATCATCATCATCATCATCATTTCAGCCTGTTTGAGTCCACTGCTGAACATAGGCCTCCCCCATAGACAAAGTTGTTTAAGTAAAGCAATTTTTATAGTTCATTATAATAAAACGCTTATCCACTAAAACTCTGTGAAATCACTTTGGACATTCGTATTAAATTTTTTGCCTATGTTGAAAGTAAATGTATAACTGAATAGGTACTGAATGGTATATGTCTGTACATCTCTGTACATTTAACTGTTTCAATCCTAATAAGAACATGGTTAAATATTTAGGTACCTGGATGAGCTATGCTTGGGTTTTTTCTCACAAAAGAAGGAAATTGGAAAAAAATAAAAAAATAATCTGGACTTGAACCGGGGTCTTCTGATTTCGGGACCGCCCGATTTCCCACCTAACCTATTATAACCTTGTAGAAAGTGGTGAAAGTTACCTTCTTGGCAGAACACGATAAAAAAAATGAAAATCGTTGGTGCCGTTTCTTGTTGTGTCGTTGAGATTCAGATTATATATATACAATAATTGCTCGTTTAAAGGTCTAATAACATACAGTTAAATGTTTTCAGTTTCAGTTGGCAAATGCGATAACATCTGCCCAATGACGTGCGACGCAGAACAAGACCGCGTCACTTTACAGACGTACGATCTGGATCCCAACTCATCTCCTTATGACAGCTTTTAGTACGTATTTACTTACATGACGTTTACGCCCGGTTTCTGAAACACTGATCATCGTAGATGTTAACTAATCAGCTGTCAAATGGTTTTTCAAATGTCATTTGAGTCGCCAAAAGGATGGTTGAACTCTATGAATTGAACATTCTAATCATTAAGATCATTCTGGTCAATTCAGAGAGTTTAACCATCCTTTTGGTAACTAAAATGAAATTTGAAAAGCCATTTGACAGCTGATTAGTTAACATCTACGATGATCAGTGTTTCAGAGAGCGGGTGTTAGTTAATGATATCAACGTTTAACCGAGCTTATTTAGCTACGAAAATTACAGATTACACAAGGCAGAAATTGCGTCTCTTCAACCGACTTGAAGGAGGAGGTTTTCAATTCGACTGTATTTTTTTGATGTTTGTTACCTCGGAACTTTGGTCTGAGTTTACCGATTTGATGATTGTTTTTTTATTTCAAAGCTGGTCCTTCCAATGAGGTCGCATATTAATGTCATTTCGCATATTATTGGATCTTTGGCTCCGGGGATTATAGGGAACTCCTGAAAGTCAATTATAAAATGAATACAGAGAGAGATGTTTGAAGTCAGTTTTGTTTTTCGTTAATAAAAAGTTGACTTATTTAGCTAATTGTTATTAAAGTTCTGCAAGTTCTATAGGCTTGTTAACAGTTTTTTTTTTTTGGGTAACAATATTGCTAATAACGGTAGCCAGAGGCAAAAATGACGTTCAGACTTCGATCTATAGCGATGTACTCGTATGTAGTAGAATATTTTAATGGTAACGGGTTGGAGCTCAATTATGATTTTGTTTAATTAAATGTTTTTTTTATATGATAAAAAGGCAAAGGAGCTGGCTGTTCACCTCATGTTAAATGATAAACCCTCATGGGCTTTTGCAACACCTTTAAATAAAGTGGGCCCCGGCTACCACACTCACCATACGAAACGCAGAAGTGTAACACTTCTACTTTACGCCGGTCTTCTGTGAGGTCGTGGTACTTACCCGGACGGACCTGCCCATTCGTGCAACAGTGAACACTGTTGCGTGGCCCTACCACAAGTGAAAGTGAGTTATCAAAGTCTGTTATTTACAGTTACGATTTAGACTTTAGCAAGATTACCATCGTCAGGGTGCATGCGTGGAATCGCAATAGGAAGATGTTTTCCCGGAAGCCGTACTTTACTAGATTCCAGTTGTTTGGTGAGTATCAAGTTCCTAGTAAATTTTCACGGTGTTAACTCTCGATCTTTACAATACTTTCGAGTTAGACGAGGAATGCAGTTGCTATTTACTATTCACTCACGTTATATAACTACTAATTACGTTTAAGTTATTGTTATGCAAGTTTCTTTATCGGGCTAGCGTTTGATTGCAATCCTATGTGAGTTCCGCAGCTGTACTTCAGTGCAGATGTTTAACAATAACATCTTAACCTTTTAAGATAAAATTACATGATTAATTTTCTTAAAAAGTAATATATTTTGCAGCGCAATTGGGTGGCGTATTTAGTGTGTTCTTTGGCTGCAGTGTTCTATCAATTTTGGAGCTTGCTATGGTTATACGACGCGCATTCTGGACGTGGATTTCAACACCAAGAAGATTTCGAGGATATAATTAAAAGCAATTGGCAACAAGTACAAGCTGTTACACAAAACCACACTCTTTGCATATTTTTGTTCTTCACCTGTTTCGTAGTTTTCTTTTTGTTAAATAAATACCGCCGCCCATAGACATCTGCAACAACTTGCTGATGCGTTGACAATATTTAGAATGTGCCGGCACAGGGAATCGAACTCAGGTTGCTCGAGTATATTGAATTAAAGACGAGCTATCACGGCTCTACTCTTTTCTATGTGTATATGACATTAATTAAAAATTTGGAGTGCGATATTGTCTATGATAATTCAGAAAAATATTTCAAAAATGCATTGATGCGATACATGTTGAACTTACAGTGCGCTGTATTCTAAGCTACTGGATTTCTATGCCTTTCGCACTCCCACCGTCTATTGTAGCGCGGGTATTGTGTACGGCCTTTTGTCTAAAAATTTATTGGTTGACAAATTTTATCGAAATGTGTTTTGTTAACATATTTTAACAAATACTATAGTAAAAAATAAATATATGTGATCCCAAACTATCTATGTTACCCTGATATCCTCTTATCCTAAACGTTTCGTTATATAACTTTTAAAACTTTCAAACTTATTAAGACCCTAGTGAGCCAGGTGAAATTGTATGCTAAATAGATTGGAAAATAAGTGAAAAAATCATTATTGTACACATGGACTCCTAGACTGGGTGCCACATTAATCTTTCATCGATGTAACACGAACATAAATTATGCAAAATGGAGAAAGTCTAACAAATTAACCCCTTCATCCTGTGGCGTCTAACTTTTGATAGAAAAAGTTATCGTTCGCCTCGTAAATACAATTACAATGGATGGTAGTCGCTCGATTCTTGTAAACTTTCTAATTTTTCTCACAAAACTCATTTAAAGACGCATTAATCATCCCTTTTAATGAAGAAATTTAACGGGAGCGAAAACAAATAATTGTATAATTGGTTTCCAACGTGAAATCATTATAAAAGATTTATTTTTCATTCCGCTTACTCATTAATTCAAAGAAAACTTGAGCCACGCAGTTTACCCCAAAGTTCATTTTAGGGAATAATAAAAAATAGACTTAAAAAAAGGAAAGTGATAAACGGATAGATTTGAATTATTTATTAATAAAAAATCTCGGTTTCCCTTAATCATTGGTATTTCACTCACCATGAACATAAAAATGTATTCATATATTGTTAAATGAAACTTTTTTACGGACTTTGTAAAATATTTAATTCATTTAACAATGTATATTTTATTTTAGTTATTTCCACAGTATGTCTTATAGTATTTGGGGTAACGCAGCCGACATAAATTCAATCTCCATCCTCCAAAAGAGGGCTCTTCGTGCAGTTAATAATCTGGGACCCAAAGAATCGCGAAGAAATTTGTTTAAAGAGATAATGATTGGTGCTTCTCAGTACATTCTTCAAATTGTTATGTATGTCTATAAAACATAAGTAATGAATTGATCGTTCCGGGCTCTTTCAATCCGACTTTTTATATTGTATTTAATATATTCATGTCAGACAAAAAATGGAAAAAAGTAGCCCGCTGAGTTTCTTTCGCCGGTTCTTCTCAGGTTAGTGGGATTATTTTCCGAATCGGTGGTAGTATTTTGACTATCAATAAAAGAGCTGTAAATGCTCCTATATTGAATAAAGATATTTGAAATTGAATATAATATTTAACTATAAATTAACTATTAATAAGTGAACTGCGCATACTTTAATCAATGACGGTAAGTGAGCATTGTTGATGACCACAGGTCGCTTTATGTAGTAACTTTACTCAGTCTTAAAGAAGGAAGAGTACGGCTAAGAGAGAAGAAATAATAGAGGCCAATAGGTTGGGGAAGGGGTCGAAGATGCGTTGTCATTCTTCAAAAAAGTGTCCTCGGTTATATAATTCAACAAACGAAAAAAATAAAAAATAAAATAAGGTCCTAATGACGCCTTATTCTGTCTTCTGGGAGTCTGTGACACTTTCCCGGGCGAGCCTGCCCATTAGTGCAACAGCAGAAGTCACAGTATGGTAGTACCTCAGTAAAACTCCCGAGCTATCTCGCAAAATCAGTTTGTTATCGGCTGTCAAGTGTCATATCCAACAGCCATAGTACCTTATCGACCTGAAGCTTATGCTTAGTGTTTGCGCCTAAGAAATATATGAAAACAAATTTGCTATTAAATAACGTCAGGGCTACGATAAACTACTTCCCAAATAAAAATTTATATGACGGTAGTTAATTAACAATTTGTTCGAACGTTATCCATCTTTGTACTTTTCAATGCAGACATACCGAAGCAGGGCCGTCGAGCAACACCTAATTTTATACTATAACGATAATTTTATACAATATAAGTTTTTCAAAGTTTCAATTTGTTTGAAATTTCAATATATGTCCCTATGAGACATAAAAGTGGCGACCGTGACAGGACAACAACAAAATTAAGAAATTAAATAAATTCGTCTCGAAGACGGTTAACAACGCCGGTCAAGATTTTATCGCCGCAGCAAGTTCCCGTCTCCATCGAGGAAGATTGAGGAGAATCTACCAGCCATTGCAGTCAAGCCGGTCAGCGATCAGCATTTAGCATCGCACCGCAGCCAGGCCAATGCAGCTAAGTGTTCTTTCCTAACAACATACTCCGTCCATAGTCCATACAAACATTCATTCCTATTTCCTTTCTATATAGTTTCTTCTTGTGCATACATTTAATTTTACGTTCTCTAGTCAATTTATATCCAAAATATGGAAAGTTAATATAGTTTAAATATACAGCATTTTTTAAACAAAGAATTTTCTAGATCTTTCGAACAACCAAACATTTATATTAACAAAAAAAAATATTTTTCGTTTTGAGAAACTTTCTTATGTTTTATATTCTCTTTATTTAAATATTTCGCCGAACATTCCAGGGACAAAGCGAGGACTACACTCAAGTAAGAAATATTCCGGCTTCCCGTTCGGCAGGTGACGTTAGTCGAAGAGCGTGAGATTTTTAATTTCTTTATTTCATAATTATTTTCCGCGTAATTTCTTCAATTAATATTTGTATTATTAAACGTTCAGTTTTACATATTCATAATGGGAAAAGATGATGATTTGCAAGAATTAACAATTAGGCGTAGTTCGGTTAAAGGACAAATAACTAAATTTAAAAATTTTTTGTCTAGTATTTCATGCAAGGAATCATTAAATTCAATTGAATTAGCTGAACTTAGTCTAAAACTTAGTTAATTTGAAGCACTTTCTAATAAGTTCGATGACTTGCAAGGTCAAATAGAGATTTTAAATGCTCATAGTTTGCCAAATGAACTAGATGAGCGTGATGACATTGAACAATTGTTCATATCAAATATTGCATTGGCACAAAGTATAATTCAGAAACATCATTCAAAATTTTCCGTTAGGGATGATTCTAAACAACATAATACAACTTTTAATTCTATAAGCCCCACGTGCAATGCAGAACCGATGGGATTTAAGCTACCACAATTACAAATCTCCAAATTTGACGGTGCCTGCTTCCGGTGGCTTGAGTTCCGTGATACATTTCTATCACTTGTGCACAACAATGACCGCATCGTGCCGATACACAAGTTTCACTATCTCATTTCCTATTTGGAAGGCGATGCGGCCCGCGTTATATCTAATTTAGAAGTATCCTCTGCTAATTATGAAAACGCATGGCAGTTGCTTTGCGATCGTTTCGATAATAAGCGCCAACTTATTAACTATCATATAAGTTCTTTGTTCAATTTACAATCAATTACACGCGAGTCAGATAAATCATTACGTTTCCTAGTTGATCACGTGACCAAGAATTTACGTGCTTTAACTAGTTTAGATCAACCAACAGAACAATGGGATATTTTAATTATTTATTTAATGTGCTCTAAATTGGACAATAGAACCCTTGCGAAATGGGAAGAATGGCGTGGCATGTTGGAAGATGTACCTAATCTAAAACAATTTAATAAGTTTTTAATTGAACGTGCTGATGTACTTGAATCTTTAAATCGTAATTCTGCAAGTAACAATTTAAAACATTCACCACTGAGCGATCCCAAACTAAAACTTTCTGAAAATCATACAATCGCAACGACATTTAATAACGTGTGTATAATGTGTAAGGGTTCTCATAAGATCTATAATTGTCCAACATTTTTGTCGAAAAACATTCATGAACGTATAGCTACAGTTTCAAAATTAAATTTATGCAGTAACTGTTTAAGGCGCGGTCACACTACACGCGATTGTCGTATGGGACCATGTCGTGAGTGCAAAAGGAGGCACAACACTTTACTCCATATTCCCAATAGTTCAGTTCCGACTCACAAACAAAATACAGAGGATACCTCAACTCCACCAAATGTTTCCGTTTCTAACTCTTGCCAACGAAAATGCAAAACAAGTAATTTTATCCACTGCTATGATACAAGTATGTAATCCAAAAACAAACAAGGTAGTAACTGTTCGCGCACTATTAGACTGTGGCAGTCAGTCCTCGTTTATTACAAAATCATTACAAAATAAACTGTCTTTGGAGTCTAATCAAACAAACACAATAAAAGTCGTTGGCATAGGCAACAACTCTTCTGGTCAAGTAACAGAAAGTTGCATTGCACAATTAAGGTCTATAAACAAAAACTACAATGTAAGTTTATCTTGTCTAGTTTTACCAGAATTAACTGGTGTGCTGCCAAACATTTCCATCGATATACAACGTTTAAAAATACCTAAGCATATTTTATCCGATCTTGCTGATCCTAGTTTCAATTTACCTGGTTCTATAGAAGTTCTTATAGGAGCTGATATTTTCTGGGATTTACTAGAATATAAACAATGCTCCTTAGGCCCAAATAATCCTAAATTAATATATTCCAAATTTGGCTGGTTGCTGGCTGGTCAACTTACTACAAGCATTATCAATAGTCTTCAGTGCAATTTTTCCTCTAATAATAATTTATTTTTAAATAATACAATTGACGAACAACTT